CAAAAATCGTCATCGAGAGCACGTATTACGGCGAGTTGTTACACGCAAACAGCGTGCGATAATGAGTCAGCGTTTAACATTTGTTCTTGTTCGAAGAATGAAACTTGTTAACGAGAATGTAACATTACTTGTCAATCTCCCCTCGTTCTAGTATCTAGTAATTTGCACCAAATGTTTCCATTTGCATGTTTGTTGGCGCTAGTCATTGTTTGTGTAAACGCTCTGCTGTTCTATTCGGCGAATGCAAATTTGCACGATATCTTACGCGGTTCATATATATATGTATGTCGCATTGGTAAAAACGAAAAGTATGACTTTCTTTGTCCTTAATTGCGAATTTTATTGTTCAACATATCTCTTGGAACGAGAGAATCTTTGTTACCTCATCGATATGATAAATCGCACACATGTAAAATCTCAGATTGTGTTAAATGCGCAACGCGTGAGAAAAAAAAACGATTTATCATTTATAATATATTCTGTGTTTGAATATGAGATAATAACGTTTTTTTTATTCTTTCTTTTGCTACATTGTCCCGATCGATGATTGCCGCTACATCAGCGTGACGTTTTATTCTCTGAACTTATAAATAAACGGCATAATGAGACAACACGCAAAATAGAAACACATCGCGATTTGTTTACACGACAACATATTTATTATGCGTTATCCTCGTGAACAATTTCAAACCGTCTTTATAGTTAAAATTAAGTTCCTTAAAAAGCTCATAACATATCCTCAAAACTGCTACTAGACATTTTTTCACTTCGTTTCTTTTTATTAACGCAGAATTTTGTTCAAACTCCAAAAAAGAAAGATCAAAAATGGAAAAAATATTGATTTTTCGCGGAGATTTTTGACTCTTTAAAGTCGCGCGAGTCTCGCAGACTCGCCAGTCAGTCCAACTCACAAGTTGTTTTTCGAAGTCGGTCCACGAAGAGTTAAGTTTTGCCTTTAGAGGGCCGGAAACATTTTTTCCACGAAATCTTGTAAATTTGATACCCAAAACTTGTACACGTACATAGCGTCTTGTACAAAATTATCGTGCAGATTCAGAATCACTGTGGCAGCTACGCCGGCTTTTAAAGGTCGGCTTTTAAAACGCGAGCGTGTCAGCCGATGTATCTTGATTGATATTGTGGAAGGCGCGAGAAACTGACTCAGAAACGTCGGTAGAAACGTGCTAAATCGATCGACAATCCGTGCATAATGCACCGGATGCGCACAACGATGTGTGATAAATTTCTGTCAAAAATCGAGCACAAGGACTCGAGCGCTTCGCGAAAAGCAGCGGGGATCGTCTTCTTCTTCGTTGTGGAACCTTGAATTTGCCAAATTCAAAGAATGAAAATTGCGCGTCTCAAAGGTCGCCGATTATACCGCAGAAACGTATTTGGCCGCTGATTCATTTCGCGCATTAACTCATTGTTATTATTATAATTAGTTACGGGCGCGTATTGTGTTCGAGTGAAATTTCTCGCAAGCAATGCTAGCGCGCGCGCGCGTTGTCACCGAATCGTAATAAAGTTCTTCTTCCCAGATTGACTTGTATCACTGACAGCCTTGAGGTGATTCTCGAGACGACGGTAGCGTGTTTGGACGGCGGATTGCTCGTTTGACAATGACGCGTTTTACAATTTGTTTGCGCGCTGACGTTGACGACACACATCTTGGCTGCTAGTCACGCTAACAACCGCTGCTTGTGAAATGCGGCGGCGATAACGGCGCGGCGAGAATTCATGTAAATCCGATAAGTGAACAGCGTCATCACGTGAATCGTCTTCTCGACGATTCGATATTTGAAAAACAAAAAAAATCGCGACGGGGGGAAGAATATTTTTTTTTCACCTTCCCGAGTCGAAATTTAGCGTCTACATTGAACCTCGATTTTTGAAAAAAGGAAATTTCGGACGTACAGCAGCGCGTCAAAGTAGCATCTACTTTTTTTCTTACTCCTACTTTGAGCCTATCAGAGCCTGCAATGCGCAAATTGATCTGAGAATTGAACCCTACTTTAAAACTTTAGCAGGAAAAAAGGAAATTTCGGACGTATAGCAGCGTCAAGTAGGATCTACTTTCTCTCTTACTCCTACATAAAAAAAGAAAAATTGAGGTTCAATGTAGACGCTAAATTTCGACTCGGGTTAAGGTCTCGACGAAAATGATCGGTTATATGCCGCTGATCTGAAGAACACGCTGTTTTCAGAACAAGGGTTTTGAATTACGACACGTAAATCGATTCCGCGTCGGAATATCCATCCCGCGAAGAGAATATCGATCAAACGCGCGCGCGCGCGCATATATGCACCGGGTCGGATTACAAAAGCGCGTGAGAAACCGATTCTCGATGCGATTCGTGACAACTCGCCTCGTATTGGCGAACGACAAAGAGAGACAATCAAGGAGAAGCGATGTGCATGCGTGTGTGTGTACGTAACCGGCATCTGAAATAAGCGGCTCTTTCACCTTGCGTTTAAGCACAGTATGCCAATATCGATTATCGCTGCGGGAGAGACCGCCGATGGAAAAAAACCGGATGGCATTCGAGATCGCTTTACCCTCTTCGCGAGTCGGAGAGTCAAATTTCCTCTTCCAATGCGTTAATCGAACTTTGCACGCGCGACAAGGGGTTTTCGCGACTAATATAATTAAATCTGAAGAAAAAAACGAGATCATACACGCAATATCCGTCGTGTAACACGCGCGGTGTTATCTCTCGTTCGCGTCGAGTCTCTCGCCCAAGCGGGAATGTAAGAAAGCTCTCGATTCTTATGCGGGAATCACGTAATTGAATAATAACTATATATACGTCGGGAGTAATGAACATGTCCGGCGAACTGACGGCGAACCTGACGCTATGTTTAGAGAAACGTTACGAAACTACCAGAAAATAATGAGTAAATGATATACGCGCGCGGTCGAGCTGCCATCGAATACATCGTTTCAAACGCAACAACAAAAAATTGCACGTATCTAAATACTTAAAAACTAAAAGCCGTTTTTTTTATACATTGCGTTTTAACACAAAACAAATATTCGGTTTCTCTCTTTCTTAATCCCGCGCTAATGAATTTCGTTCTCTCTCTCTCTCTCTCTTTCTTCTGTATAATTACATTTTTTTACATTTAATTTGCGATAAGATAATTGATGCACACGCGCGCGCTCATCCTGCCTCGACAACCTTCGCGAAAAACGGAGAAGAGAAGGGACAACGTCTCACCCGTTGCTACTTAATGGTGTCTTAGGTCGCGTTGCGTGATATCACGTGGTAACAAATCCTCGGGTATCGTCACGGGTGACAGGACAACTCCGGTATCACGACCGCGATACAATACAATACAAGCGCAACGACAATCGAGCGAGCGCGATTCCTCGCGTCGCGACATCGCGCACAAACCGGGAAAATCGGACGCGTCGCGGCTAACAAAAAACAACGACACGCGTTTTATGCACCACGCGGGAGACTGCGTGAACTTTAATTCTCTCGAGACGAGAAGAGTTAGTAGGTTAGTCTCCTCTCGAGAGAGAGATCGCCAAAGGAGTCGCGCGCAGGCTGTCTGTTTAGGAGAAACTGGTAAGTTGTTTTTTTTTTCTTTTGCTATCCGTCGCGCGCTAATAAGCCTCTTTTCGTGATTTTCATTCGTCGCTATCTTTCGGCAAAACTAATTGAAATCCCTTATTCTTCGTTATCGTCCCGCAAGAAACACTTTTGCCAGTGACACTTCGCATGTTGCGACGATTTTTCATTCACAAAGTTTCATGTGTCTCGTTATCCTTGTATCCACGTTATTGTGTAGTCGCGTAACGAGATATCATCAGGTAATTCGCTGTTAGAACTCTAACGGGAAAAACACATCGAAGTAGCACGTAGCTTTGTGACGTTAATTATTTGGGATCGACGCGTCGTACGAAGAACACAATTCGCTTTAGCCGCGCTACTCACGTGTCGAGAATGTTCCCCGTCGAAAGTTCCTAATCTAAACGCGCCGCCGGGGAAAAAGTTCGCTGGAAAAACACACTGACCCAGTGACACACGTGAAACGCGCGTTATTATTATATACCGGTGCGGAACTTTCGTTTTTCCGCACGTGAAAGTGCCTCTCCTCGTGTTTAATCGCCCATTTTCTCGAAACTTTTTTTTTTTTTTTTTTTTGTTTTTCACTTTGACTGGAGAACTCGCATGACATAACGAGAGATCGGAGCGGAGAGTTGATGTAATCCGAGAATACCATCCGCACAACTTACATGTCTCTCTCTCTCGCAATTTATTAGTTCTCGCTTGAATATATGAAAAAAAAAAAAATCAAGTGGCGTCATGTAGAACTTAAACTTTAGACTTGCGCGTAATTGTAGAATATTAAAACGCGATCGTTGTCGAAGATAGAGAATTCGCTCGCAATTCCCCGGATCGCGCGACTGTTCGTGGGAATTTCAGCGGCAATTCTCGGAAGACTAATTAAAATTCGACGAAATTATCGAAGAAATGACAAATGAACGGGAAATAATACACAACCAGGAAAGAAACTACCGCCGGTGGTCTGTCAGGTGGTGGGGTAAAAATACGTCGGACGCACGCGATTTCGGGCGCCGTGCGTCGCCGCAACCGACCCGTGGTCTCGTGCGTGTGTAAAATTGAACACGCACGTGCGTGCCTGCTTGTTCAGTGGGAGTATCTCTATGTTTCTCGCCCGCGGCGCGGCGACACGGCCAGTGACACAGAAGAGACACATGAAGAGAGACAAGAAGCAAAGGAGAGAGGTGCTTTGTGTGAGGAGGTGGAGAAGTGGAGGAAGAAAAGAAAGAGAAGAGGCGGGGGAGAAGCAGGCTAAGGTGCACACTCTGTGTGTATATACACACGGAGGAGAAAACGACGACCGCGAGCGACTCGCGAGCGAACCCGCGGAGCCCGAGAGTCGGCGAACCGAGAACCGAACGGCGAACCGCTCACCGATTCCAAAGTCCGCTGGCGGATTGTTCAGTTGTCTCCGAACCCCCGAACTGTTCGGACGCGTTCTCCAGAGGCAGGTTTCCCATCGCGTTCCGCGAACACACACACACGCTCTACCCTGCGCGATCTCCTTCATCTTTTGACACATTGCCTGAGAAAAGTGCCTTTATTCGGAAAACTCAATCAAAAATCGAGTAAATTTGAAGGGGGGAAATAAAAAAAAAAAAAAAGAAGAGATCGATTTGTCAAACGTTTCCGAGAACCGGTCTAGCCACGGCTGTCTACAAGAGGGTGTTCACCCTCCGCTTCGCCGGCAGAACAATCCCCTGCGAGAGTCGAGCACACGTCTTTTCGCACACCGAGACGAAGGGGAGCGCGAGATCCTTGCCGATTCCAACGATCGATTTGCTACAACGTGAGTATCGTGACAAAAAGGGGATGTTACGGGGGGGGAATCGCGCGTAAAAAAGGGGGACAATTTCACGATCGCGCAGTTCGCGGCGAAACTTTCATGGACATTATCACGAACCGCACGCGTATAAGCGCGTGATCGGCTACCGATAAATCGTGTTTTAACCAGACGAGAGCTAATTCTGCTTTACGTTTAGAAAGTAAAGATGCCAAAGTGGGGGATCGAAACACCGCGAAATGGGGAAGCGGTATGCGTATCCATTATTAGGTATTTATAACCGGTGCAAAATTAAATTTCTTTCTTTCTTTTTTTTTTTTAATAAAACGTGCTGAAATAGCATCACGTGCGTCACACAACAATGTTATCTGTTTTACATGTCAAGTTGAATTGCTTGAGACAAGCTTACATTACACGTCGCGAAGAGATACAACAAGTTTTTTTCGACTCTTTCTTGTCGCCGACATTTGAAAATTAAAAACAAAAAAGAGCAAATAAATGTGAAACAACTAATCTGTACATTTATCTAAATTAAAAATACTATGTCTATGAAAAAGGGCGTTTCTTTAGAGAAGGATGAGAAAAAAAAAATATATCTGATGCGCGATAAAACGTAATCGCGCGATTTTATATCTACACACGCGTGCATCGTTATGTGTGCGCGTTCGTTTATACACGTACAAATCGCGACTCCGCTTCGTTCTCTCTAGCAATGTAAGAGCTACTACGATTGCTCCGATATATTATAGCGTGTATTTGATACCGCGAAGGAAACGTGTAACGTATATAGCTGTTGCGCGCCTGTACGCCGCGCGTATGATTGTTTCTGGATAAACTCCCGATAGCGGACAGATAAAATTCCCTTCACTTTTGCAACTTGGCATTGCAATATTTACATCAGGTTGCATAATTTATGTGTTATCTTCTTAATTCAAATTATTTTCAAATAACACGAGAACGAAACGTTGCGTATTTGTTTGTTCTGACACACAATTACAAAATTAATAGAAATATATCAATCACGGTTGTATCGATTGTATTACGTTTCCTTTCTTTTCTGGTTGTTCTCTGTTAAAAAAAAAAAAAAAGATAAGTCACTGAAAAGTGACGGGAGAAAATTGTTCAAAATAATTTCATTGTGTGTTGTGTGTCTCGGAGAGAGATAACAAACATAAATCTTAAACTTCGATTTACCGACGATTCGATTTTAATTTCCGAGCGGAAAAAAAATCTTTGGCAATCTTTTCTGAGAAATAGACAATTTTTTGTCTCAGAGAGTGAAACGTAATAATACAAGAATTTTTCACCAAGGTCTCCGTTACACTTGCCAGGTGTAAGAGCACAATTTTTTTTATTGTTGCGCGCACGTTGCTCACGAGATATATTACCGCATTCTTTGAGATTACGATATAGCTTTGTATATCTGTCAACTGAAATTTTTTTTTTTTTCGAGAAAATTCCACGGCGGAATTCAAACAAAATTGCAAAAAAAAAAAAAAAAAAAAAAAAAACCAGTCTAATTACTCCGACGTAAACATCCTGTATTTTGTAATCGATTACAAAACAGAGAATGTTAAACTTTTCTGAAGAGATGACATTTCTCTTGTGCAAAAAAATAATTTGACTGAATGTGCAAAATAATTAAAAACAACGGTCCGCTCGTTAATATCGAGTAAAGACGACACAAAATTTTGCACGTTTCATATTTTTACTGTGTCCCTGCATTTTTTTAACACATCACACGATTGCTGACTGTGTGTGTTGGTGCCAATATACGAGCAACGTTGCGGCCGAATAATGACTAATTAAAGCCGTGATAAGAATAATGAAAATGTTTTACTCGCGAGAGGCCATACGTGATATGCGCTGTGATGCGTGGTAATGCAATGAGGCAGAGAATGAAATTACGAGATCGCATAATGCATACTCGGCGATCTGTTAAATGTCGGAAGTTTTACAATATGCGCGCGCGTATAATAATCACCGCACATGATACACGTGTGTACGTGTGTGTGTGTGTGTGAGTAAGTTCTTCCTGTTTTCGAGCATATGCTTTGTAATCGGTGTCCGATGTTAAGACTCTTTCGGAGAACACGACACGCGCGCGTTTGTCGGCGCTAAATAATACAACGATATTATATCATTTCAGAACAAGCAGTTCGCGTGCGCGCGAATATGTAGTTCTTTTCTCTTTAAAAGTTTTCGTTTTCATTTCGCGTTTTGTACACGCGCGGTCTCATCACGTGCAACGAAATCTTTAACGATACCGTAGGAGGTGGTACCGAATAGGCGCGAGGAAGCCGGCGGAATCGTTAAGACATTTAACGATCGTCAAGTACGACATAAAATTGCGCGCCGTGCGCGCTTAAAGACATCGTAGTTAAGAAGTTAAAAATAACATTGCGTTTTCCGGTTTTATTTGGCAATACCGTGAGCAAAACCTGTGAGCCCGCTCTTTTTTTCGAGATAATTTATTGTACGCAAAATAAAGTAAACATTTTTTTTTCACAGCATTTATTCGGAAATTAATGGGACACTTCGAGATTCGCGTCGCGAGGTGTAATTTTTTATATTTGATGTTTTACAGCACGCAAAATAAAAAACTAATATACCAAAAATATCTTTACACGCTGATATCGCGCACGGCGACGTCGCGAATTTAATGCGCTAGCATTATCATTCCTCGTTAAATATACGGTAATCGAACACCCAATGCGAGTTTTAAATACGTAAGTACACAAATCTCGGTAACGGTTATTACGTTTACAGTTAGTTTTACGCATTTTCACGAGAGAGAAGTGCCAATGAGACGACAGTTATCTCCTCGCTTTGAGATGCGCGCGCGTGCGGATCGAATTTCGCATTAATCACCGCGACGCGACGGCGGTGGCCGCGGTGCCGCCATGAATCAATACGAGATGTATATCTCGCGTCAAAGAATCTTCGACACCTCTCTCTATTATGTTTCCTCCTTTTAGACGGAACGTGTGCCGCGCGCTGCGGGCGCACCTCGCTCGGCGGTTCGTTGTGAAACGGTTGTAACATTCACGGAGCCGATCGTTTCGCGGACTTTCTAAACCGTGATAAATATAGTATCCGCTATGCGGCCACATGTAGCATGGCGTTTGTCTCGCATCTCTAGATATATACGACGACCGTCACACACACACGCGCGCACACACACACACACATACACACACGCAGAGGGGAAATACTATGCAGGTGCAATCGAAGCGACGAAAAGAGCGAACGAAATATACGAGCGTGTTGGCGTGTTCGATAACGAACATATCAATCGGGATATGTATCAACGAGTCGATCCGCGCGCGATTTATTATTAATTATTTCGCGCGCGAGACAGAATTAAAAAAAAGTTCCGCGTTATTAATATATTCGTCCTCCTGGAATTTTCGTTTGGAATTTCGTCGAGAGAAGAAATTGTATCCTGCTACTAGCTGTGACCTTCGTCGTCCGGGTTTTAGCGGATTAACTTCGCTCGGAGATCTTTTATCTCCGAAAGACCGCGTGTCGACGGAACGTGCTCGATCCAATCTCTTTCGCGCAAGAATGGAATGCGCGCGTAAATCATAAATGTTGTACTCGCTTATTCTCGCGCGATTTCACGGCGCAGATATATATGTACACACACAGCGGCATAATGACAACATTATAAAGCTGGATTATAACAAAAAAATAAAAAAACAAAAAAACGGGTATGAAAATAAATTTTATAGGAAGCGAGAGGTATGTTGTATATATCTTGCGTGATTTCCGCGCGTGAATGTTCCACATCGGCATCGTGTTAGGAGCACATGGCGCATCAGCCTGATGCGAATATAATTGCGCGATCCTCGCGGTTGTGAAAATTGTGTTTCGAGTTGCAATTACGTATCTCGCGCGCGTTTCTTCGCTGCATTTAATTACGCGCGCGCGCGCGCGGTCGCGAGAGAGCGTCTTGTACATAGGATATCGAGCAGCATCGGTGGTTTTCAGACGTTCGCACATATACGCGCGTTGAAATCACCGGAGGAGGCGCGTCGAATCCGCGAGAAAGTCTGAGTCTCCGATGAAGCGTCGTTTGTATATAATCAACACGAGCCCAATTTTAACAGGCGCAGAACAATGCGCTGACGCCGACCAACGCTTGTGCGTGCACAAGCAACGATTTGTGCACACGCAGCATGTTTCAAACACGTGTACGCGATTTCCTTCCGCGGCCGGACGTGATACACAAACGAGTATTTATTTATCATCGATGCGTAATGTCGCGTATTGTAGGGTAAACCCGGGTAAGATAGTTTTCTTTAAACGCAAAAAACAGACCTTTATTTTTGTTAATATTGTTTTTTTTATTTCACTTCACTAAAGCTTAAAGTAATAATAACTATCGAAATTAATGAGAAAACACTTAACACAGAAATTTAATATTATATAAAATATTAAAATGTATGCATTGGCCATCTTACCCAACTTTTAGAGGAAAGATGGCCATACATATTTGTTTTGTAAAAGATATAAGTAAAACTTATAATTATGTAATTTAATTATATATTTAGTAATTATGTTGAATACAATAAATTTATTGTACGTAAAAGATTATTACATATTGTTGTTAATGTTTGCATACACAGTATTTTTCAATTATGAAACGCAACTTTATATAAACTATAAAAACAATTAGAAAAAAAACATTTTTATTTCGATAATTAAATACATTGTAGATTATACTACAGTCATAAAAAATATATATATAATTATATATATATATATATTTTTTTAAATGAGCCATCTTTCCCGAAGTGTGAGGAAAAGATAACATAGTATTTATAAATAAATAATGAAAATGAAAATACACACACACAAATTAGTGGTTACATTACAATTTATGTATCTTTATTATGTATATAATATTGATTACAGCAGCTTAATTGTAATTTATTCGTTACAGCAGCTTTTAGTGAACATATGTAAAACTTTGCAGGCAATCGAAAGTAAAAATATTATAT